TCTAAATATATTCCCGTCGCATGCCATCTATGTAAAACACAAAAGCATACAAGGAATATTTTGGTCTTCACTATATATAGTTTAGGAATCTTTTCTAAAATAATTTTCCTGTTTCTTAATATTTTGTCTTTTTTTTTTTTTTTTTGCAAGGGACTACTGGGAGTGAAATAGAATGAGAAGATTTTTAGAAGGATAGAAGGAACTGGAAAACCAATTCTAAACAAAGGATAAAACTCTGCTCTTTTGAAAGACAATGGACGAATGTGAACCCAAACACTTTCCAGATATTTAAACTTCTGTTCTTAGTAACTGTTATTTCGTATCTTCGGCCTTTTCTCTTACAAACAAATCTAGAGTATCTTCTAACAATTGATAGTTAGTCCTTTCTTCTCGTTTTCCTTAACTACAGTGTGTAGGAGTTCCAGAACTTTTCCGTCTGTGTCTGCTATTATAAGTGTGTTATTAACCAGAGTGTAAATCCAAGCCCAGACTCATTGAAATAATTAGAGATTAATCTTTAGTTTGGTAAATTTTGACGAATCCTAGTAATTCGGCGATAATTCAACGTGGACGGTAACACCTTCGTGGGTTGCTATGTACTCTCAAGGGAGCAGTAAATCTTCAAGAGAATTATGGGTGGCGCTAAGCATTTAACAAGGCAATAAGATGATTTAAACCTTTGAGCCAAGATTGGTACAAGTATATACGCATTTGTTTATCTTCTAACACTTATATTAACATCTTTTCTACAAATGTTTTCATGGCAACTGCTCTGACGAGCTATTTTCACTGGTGCCCCGACTGCATGAATTTAAGCATGCTTCTAGGTTGGCATCTTAGTCCCGCCTTTTCACTGTCGAAACAGTTAAATGTAACCGCCTCTTCTACTCCAACAGCTTCTTCTCTCGCTCTTCCCAACAGTCTAACTCCCTTCCTCTTACTTGCTTCCCTGATAACGATAATCTTCAAAAATTTAAATGTAATGTCAATCAGCATTTTCTGATGCCTTGTTCTTGACCCCCGTTCTTGTTTTTTTTTCCTTTCCTCACCCCACTTCTTTTTTCTTAATTTCACTCTCTGTAATCCCAATGCTTAAGAAATAAAGAAAAAGTTTTAGATGTATTTTAAACATTTAAATATAATTGCCATATGAGTATAGACAAAAAAAAGTCTGTCAGCCAAAGTTCGCCTGCTTTTCTGGTCAAACCTGGTTACCGCCACAACTTACTTTCGGTGAATGGTGCTGTTACAATACAAATAAAACATACTCTTCTTTATGTGCTGTGTCCCCTCAGGGCGTATGCATAATCATGGCTCTCCACAATTTCCTGTCTTGTGTAGCTCTTAATAAATTTTGTCTTTTCCTTATTTCTCCTAAACCCTGTTCCGCCATCCCCTTACTTAACATCATCAAGTCTGTTATATGCTGTTTTCCTCTTAACCTCTTGTACTCAATCTGTCCTGTGAGTGTCAGATTTTCCAAACCCTCTTTCCTCATTATGTATACGAGAAATTTCAACTGTCTCTTCATTATGTTAAGTATCAGTTTCCTTTTCGTTTCCATTTTCTCTAAAATCCCTCACATGTTTGGTCCATGGTATCCTCAGCATCCATCTGTAGAACGACATTTCTGCTGTTTCAAGTCTCTTCTTCATCTTTGAGGATATTGTCCAACATTCACTGCTATATAGGAAGACAGACATCCCGTAACTGTTCAGTACTCTGCTTTTTTTTTCTTTCTTTTTTTATCCTAACGAAGATTTTCTGTCTCTTAATACTCTGCTTAGCTTTTGGAAAGCATCTTTGTCTATCCTAATGTTTCTTCACACTTTCCGTCCTCTGTTAGAACACTTCCCAGGTATTAAAATTGCTGTACTTATTTGATGTTGGTACCTCCGATTTTTAATTTGCATTTTGGGCTCATCCTTTTACTAACGACTATTCATTCTGTCTTTTTGCAATTTATGTGAAGTCCTTTCTTCTTGTTTTACTTCACTATCGCCGGTCTGATTCTGATACTTGTTCTATCCATCAGAATTCGTGTTGTGGATTCCGGATTGAAATCCGGTACCAATAAATAACAAACGCCAGGAATGAATATATAAAAATAATGTATTAACGTAATAATACAAACTGGTAAAGCAGGTTAGTAGTTCCAGGAATACGGGTTAGTAGCAAAATATATATACAGTCTTTGGTATTGAAGTATCGCTGTATGACTTCTTACGGAGTCTACGTGCTCACTCACTGTGACTCCTACAACGCTGTTACCTCACCCCTCACTCTTCCGGTTACCTACCACCTTTTACTCTGTCACTCTGGACTCGACTCTGTGGTCTTGCTCTCGTCTCACTCTCGTCTTACTCTCGGGTCTTCCCGTAGCAGTAGTATATGTATATACTGGGTGAGTCCATTTGTGTAAAAAGGGGTGGACCCCTCAACAATTTCGATGATGTGTTTTGTTATATGGCTCATTAGGCTGATTGTCCGTAGGAGGTCCCGATCGTTTACACCTGATTTCTTTGGCAGTGCTATGAAATTAGATCTACTTCGGTCTTCCGGGACATTGCCACTGTTGGTATTTATCAAATAAAACATAAACAACACTATTTACATTATTCGAACTATTGTCCTCATTTTCTGTTGCCATATTTATCACAACGCTTAGGCTGTTGTACGCCCGGCCTTCTTCAGGTGGTTGGAATGTCGAACTGAACCCTTTATTTCGCTCGCTGGGGTAAACTGTTCTAGTTCCACGTGCCATGTCTAATGGATATCAGTTATCAGTTATCTCCTGTTAATTCCCTTCTCCAAGTTCTACACCGCCTTAACTAAGTCACACTTTTTGGGTCCTGTCAATGGATATATCTAACGCCTTTATCCACTGTGCCATGTGTCATTGAACAGTCTACCCCAGGGAGCGAAATAAAGGGTTCAGTTCGATGTTCCAATCAACTGAAAAAGGCCGGGGCGTATAACGGCCGAAACGTTGTGATGAATATGCAACAAAGATGAGGACAATAGTCCGAATAATGTAAATAGTGTACATAATATCGCATCTCAGAAATATAGAAAGATATTGACGAAGGCCGGAGCGTACAACGGCCGAAACGTTGTAATAAATATGGCGACAATGATGAGGACACTAGTCCGAATAATGTAAATAGTGTGCATAATACCTCATCTCAGAAATATAGAAAGATACTGAAGAAGGCCGGAGCGTACAACGGCCGAAACGTTGTAATAAATATGGCGACAATGATGAGGACAATAGTCTGAATAATGTAAATAGTGTGCATAATACCTCATCTTAGAAATATAGAAAGATACTGAAGAAGGCCGGAGCGTACAACGGCCGAAACGTTGTAATAAATATGGCGACAATGATGAGGACAATAGTCCGAATAATGTAAAGAGTGTGCATAATACCTCATCTCAGAAATATAGAAAGATACTGAAGAAGGCCGGAGCGTACAACGGCCGAAACGTTGTAATAAATATGGCGACAATGATGAGGACACTAGTCCGAATAATGTAAATAGTGTGCATAATACCTCATCTCAGAAATATAGAAAGATACTGAAGAAGGCCGGAGCGTACAACGGCCGAAACGTTGTAATAAATATGGCGACAATGATGAGGACAATAGTCCGAATAATTTAAATAGTGTGCATAATACCTCATCTCAGAAATATAGAAAGATACTGAAGAAGGCCGGAGCGTACAACGGCCGAAACGTTGTAATAAATATGGCAACAAAGATGAGGACAATAGTCCGAATAATGTATATAGTGTACATAATACCTCATCTCAGAAATATAGATGGAAACATAAACAAGTGACATTAATTCTGTTGCATTAACAGTGCTTCATTTACCAATGCAATATTAACATAGCACATATGAACAGGAACTCTTCATTCTTCACAGGGTCCAAAAGTGTATCCGCGTCCTTGTGGGTGATTAATTATACTCTCACCCTACAACCCTTTTTTCATAGACCTAATGTCATAAGCCTCTTGCTGATCTATCACTATTTCCATGGAAAGTGCTCAGACAAACTACATTCCTTAGTTTCATCTGTTTCAACTTATACGGCCATTCCACGCACATTGTAGCGAACCGCCTTCATTCTCTTCGTATTCCATTGTTGAGATGTAAGTTCCACTTCCCACGAACCGATGCTTTGTGGAAACGACTCCCAAGAGGATGCTTTCCCGATCACCACAATCTTAACCTGTTCAAGTCTAGAGTTAAGTGTTATCCTTCCCATATATCTCTATAACTGTTACTCTGTAACCCTCTACCTTGATTAACTCTTGGGCCTTGTGGAGGTTTCAATATCGTTATGAAAAAAAAGCCCATTATGTAAATATTGTATTGCCCTCCCGTGTAAATATCTGAAAAACTGGGCACCGAAGAAGAAAATATTGCTTATTTGATTCTATCGTCGATGTTACGAAAATAAACGAATTTTAATCTTTATTAATGCACAATGCTAAGGTAGTTATCATAATACAATTATACGTTTATAAGTGGTCTCTTTTGATAAGGTCGCTTAAAACTACACGCACCCAACGCCTTCTAAAGACAAACAGAAAAAAAAATCGTTGCGTTTGCTCACTATTTTACAAATTTTCAATCGATCTAGATAACTATTTTAGAATCTTTCAGTCTCTCGAACAAACTACAGAAGCATCTATATTTCAGTCTATCCTTATTGTTCTTTGATGTGCAGGTGGTGTAATGGATAGCGACAGGAAATGTGGAATCGGAGAGCCGAGTTCGAAATACAGTCAGTTACGTCACTTTCATCTCGGCGCAATAAACTTAGAAAATTGTATCTGGGAAATACCATTGTTACACTCAACAAATTGGTAATGCAATATCCACTCGCAAAAGCAAAAGCGTTATTCTTACCATCTAAAATATGTTTCCGTTTTAAATAAACTACGAAAGGTTGATAAACCGTAGTAAACAAATGAATTAATCTTATCTATCTCAGTCTGAGATAGATAGATAGATAGATAGACAGACAGACAGACAGATAGATAGATAGATAGGAAGGAAGGAAGTGGTTGCTGAAAGGTTTTAAAGATCAAAAATGAAAATACTGATTTTGGAGAGAGAGAGAGGAAGTGGTTGCTGAAAGGTTTTAAAGATCAAAAATGAAAATACTGATTTTGGATAGAGAGAGAGAGAGAGAGAGAGAGAGAGAGAGAGAGAGAGGAAGTGGTTGCTGAAAGGTTTTAAAGATCAAAAATGAAAATACTGATTTTGGATAGATAGATAGATAGATAGATAGATAGATAGATAGATAGGAGGTGGGTTAATGAATGAATATACTGATTTGTGGTAGTTGATTGGGTCGAGAACGTTTCAGCCCCGACTTCCTATCTATCTATCTATCTATCTATCTGTCTGTCTGTCTGTCTGTCTGTCTATTACAGTGTGTTAATATCTTTCTTACCTTTATTATCGCAGTCCACCCTCGTCCCTCCTTAATGCTCTTTCGTTGGCCTCCACTCGAAATACCAAAAAGCGTCCAGTAAATTATCAATCAATTGGCGCTGAGAAACGAGAAACAGAATCCAAACAGGAAACGTCAAGACGGCGAAGAAAAGCGCCAAAATTACTCGACACCTTTTGGCCTCCAACAAAATGGCGGCAAAACGAAAGAAAGACGTAAAAAAAGAGGAAGAGAGATGATAAAGAGTGGGAAAAAGAGAAATGAATATAAGAATATTATTCTGAAGAATATGTGCTTGCCAATATACGCGTAGGCGTGTTTGGGAATGCGGGAGTTTTGATTCACGTATGCGTGTCCCTTATATATATATATATATATATATATATATATATATATATATATATATATATATATATATATCAGATATACTAAATATATGCATATATAACATATATTAAAGTACACAAAAGTTAGTGTGCATAAGTTCATATATATATATATATATATATATATATATATATATATATGTGTGTGTGTGTGTGTTTGTGTGTGTGTGTGTGTGCCTACGTAAACTTGCACATAATCATATATATATATATATATATATATATATATATATATATATATATACAGAGAGCGAGAGAGAATAGTAGGAGGAGAGTAAAAGGAAGAGTCTCATGCGTGTATATGTGTGTGTGTGTTCGCGCATGTGTGTGTGGGCGTTTGATTAGATTTTAAGAAATGGGTCAAGCCAACAACTTTTCAGTGCTCTCATATATATGTGTGCTTGTGTGTGTTTATGTGTGTGTGTGTGTGTGTGTATGTGTGTGTGCGTTTATGTGTGTGTGTGTGTGTGTTTATATGTGTGTGTGTGTGTGTGTGTGTGTGCGCGCGCGCAAGAATACACGCATACGCACATATAGATTTTTTCAGAGACCCTTACATACATATGCCGAATGACATTATTTTAATAAATTATAGTTTTTGTTGACATTGAATTTTCTTTCGTCCATTTTGGTAATTTACTATGACAAACGAATTTGATGTGTGGTTGAGACGAGAGATTTGAAAATAAGGTTGAAAAAAATATGGCGACTTTTCTTATTTGATTTATTTTTCATTTTATTTGATAATTTTTTCCTCGTGATCTTTTTTCATCAAATATACAAATGAGGATTACAGATGAGCATGCACTTTGAAAACGCTTTTTTTATCTTTATCGTTGCATCTTTCAGCGTGTCTCGCTTTCTTTCTCTCTCTTTCTATATATCTCTCTCTCCCATACATACACACACACACATATATATAACTTTAAGTTGTACTTCGAACGGAGGTATATGTATATTTATTAATATGTGTGTGTGTGTATTGTGCATATTAATACATGTTTCATCGTATAATATAGACATATTATGAAAAAGCATCATTATAAAGATAAATAGACATAATATGTATAAATTATAAAATGACACGTGTCTAAATGTAAACATGATATCTAAATATTCAAATATGCTGTATAAATAATTCAAATTGCAGGATTCAGCACCCCATCAAAATAGAGGCATTTGGCAATTTACGCGTAACCTTGAGAAAAGGCAAATCGTAATGCTAATGAATTTCATCTTAACATCAAGACACTGATTAGAGAACTAAAAAGGATTATTATAAAAATTGACATGTCTATATTATTCAATGAAACATGTCTAGATGAAGATGTACTGCCCATATATATATATATATATATATATATATATATATACATATTTAAATCATTAACCTCTATATTTGTTTTTTGTATGAATGATTCATGAATTTATAAATTATAATTGCACCTTTAATTGAAATTAAAATAACTGATCCAACGTGCAACTTTTGGATAATAAGTGTGACATTACTGTAATTATTGAATAATATAGTTCATGCCACATTGACGGAAAATCTACCATTAAAATGAATTCTTTTGTACAAAAACGCACAACCTTAAAATTTAAATTCAAACTCAGCGTTGCGACCGCACGTTCCAAAACAATAACACATTTCTCATAGCATTTTTTCGAATTACATCTCTATTTTCGTTGTCCTCTTATTACCGAGAAGTAAAAACAAGAACTAAAATCTACTTCCATACCTGATGATGTCTGTAGGAACAGACGAAAGCTTGTATGAAATTAAAAAGACCTTATGCAACTGGAATTTATAAACAGGGATCATATCATTCATATACAGGTTCGGGGTTGGTGTATCTTATTTATATTGTTTGCGAAGATGTATTCTCGCCATTTAAATCATTAACCTCTATATTTGTTTTTTTGTATGAATGATTCATGATATATATATATATATATATATATATATATATATATATATATATATATATATATATTCATTCAATAATTCTGTTTGCTGTGAATCATCCATTTGTTTCTATATAAACATTTCAGATGGTGTACAATTAAATAAATATGTTATATGCACATATTCGGATGTGTGCGTTTCGTGTGCGCAGGTAAACTATACGTTTACGGAGATCACAGCATGGATATGAGCAAAGTAGCGCGTTGAATAATGCGTTTCAGCAGTGCCTACAAGGACGTATATGACAAGGGATATTCACCATGCCACGCAAGCAAGAGAATCTAGTCATGGCTGTCAGACACTTTCTGCGGCATCATCACGCCTCACATCTCCCCAGACTGCAACCCCTAGCTTATTTTGAGTGGGGCGAGGGAACAACAAAAATGAACTGAAAGCAAGGATTATAGCAATCTTCACCAACTTAAACAAGGAGACCGTCCAGAAGAGTTGCAGAAGATTCCGAAGTTGTCTGATTTTGAAGCAATGATGATTTTATTGAATAAATTTAGTTTTTAGTATTTTTGTGTAATTTGGTAAATATATCTGTTAAAATGTTGCACCCTATATGTTAGTAGGCCATTTGACTAAACAAAAACTCGAAAAGAAAGATTTTAAAGTCAAAATTTTCGGACACATCTGTGTCATATTTCAATGAATCCAGAAATAAACATAATGGAACTCACTCTTCCGGGGAATGTTATTCTTGTTGGTTAGAGGGATCTGGGTTTACTTAGAAAATATAATTCCCAAAAAGGAACTCTCTAACGAACAACAACAACATTCCGTGGAAGACCACCAATATTTTTTGCCAATATTGTTATCATTTTTTATTCCTCAAATTTCATTAACAGGCCTATATATATATATATATATATATATATATATATATATATATATATATATATATATATATAAACGTTTGTCACTTAGCTGATTGATGTTACCTTTAGCATTGTTACCTTTAGTTTCGTAGATGGACCTGTCCGTCCACTCTTTAGGGGATATCAGCAATTTACTGTTATATTTTTCGATTATTTTATGCACATCATATTTTTATGCACTTATAATTTTGGATGAGATTTTAAAGTACTTGGTAAAATAAAAGGAATGAGAAAAACTACAATCCCTTCTTTAATGAGATTAATGACAACAATATGTAATTGATCCGTGAATTTGAAAGGATTATAATAAAAATAAATAGACATAGTATGTCTAGCTTATTCTAGAATGCGTGAATGAAGATATGTTGCCTAAATATACATACACACGCACATACACACGTATATATATATATATATATATATATATATATATATATACTTCTGATTGATTCTATGTGTGATTATTTCTTTGTATGTAAATCATATGCTGCCTAGTGTTTTATGTTTATTAAAAACTATCGATCCGCAGTACATAAAAAATTTCCTATAAAAAAAACTACTACTAAGACATTACACTATATTATTGAACTATATACTTAGTTCATGACATAAAAACTGAATACACTTGTAAAAATAGAATACGTGGATTTAACACATCACAAGAAATATTTAAATAAAATTCTCACTTAAAATTTTGAAAAACTTAGCGTTGCGTCTTTGCACGTTCCGAGATCTTACACAACCGTCAATAATAGCAGATATTCAAAAAACATCTTTCGGTCGACATAAAGGTATATCGTCTCAAGTTTTTGATTTTATAAGAAAAAAAAAACACATGCCTGATGATGAATAGAAGACTATTCGTAAGTACTAGCATTTTAACATCAAATAAACTGAAAACTACAGACAACAAGTTTATCGACGAGGATCAAACTCGCACTATGGATGAACAGGATTTTAATGCATATATTATGTTTTTTTAGCGATGGATGTCGCCAATAATTGCATTAATACTTCTGATTGATTCTATGTGATTATTTATTTGTATTATATATATATATATATATATATATATATATATATATATATATATATATACCTACGTTCGAAGTACAACTTAAGGTTTCGTGGTTCTCCCAACTCATCAGGCACGAACAATTACGGTTGATTTTTTTTTTTAAATACTGGGTCACATGGGAGGAACGCTAAATTAAACAAAGATTCAAAGATCAAAGTTAATATAAAATTAATATATCATTGAGTGTAAATACAAAATGTATGTAGGAGACTATTGCTAAATTTAAAAAAAAAAGTTGCAACCTTAAAATCTTAAAGAGGAATGCCGGGAAACCCATTAAGTATTAATAGACGTTAAAAGGGAGTAATCAAATATATAAACAAAAATATGTAAAGGGCAAGTGATATTTGGATAATATATCTATTCAGAATTAAAATACTTTAAGAGAGTTTTCGTTTTTTTTTTTTTTTGTTTTGTTTTTTATTACAAGCTGACATGAGTTCATTTTGTTTAGTAAGTAGTTTTCGGTCATTAATATTTTTGAGGATGAATCTTTTTTCTAGCAAACACTGATTGCATCGGTCGCCGCTGCCGGAAAAGGGTGTAGATATAGTCAAGAAATTTCAATTTACTACCAGTGTATAGTCATCTGTTTGAAAATCTCAGTAAAACTTTGAGAGTGTCGTTATTGTTAAGAGTCATTTTATGGTGATAAAATCGTGTTTTCCAGTGATTGGCTGTAAAACCGAAACTTTTGTCCTGCCATTATTTTTTATGCTAGCCTCATAGATGACGCCTTTTACGTAGATTTATTGTTTATTGAACAGTTAATTTTTTTTTTTTTGATAATTAATATTGTTATTAAGGTTTAAGTATTTGTTTAATGTTACATGTATATTTTTAATATATACTTTTTAGCTCTGCCTAACCACATTGAGCACTGTTTTGTTTACACCTTATATTAAATTAAATAAATATTTATTCCCTTACCTATGTATGTACGCTAACGCATGTATATACAGTTGCTAATATCTGATTATTTGTTTTATATCCATATATACATACATACACACACACACACACACACACACACACATATATATATATATATATATATATATATATAAAAATAGATTGATAGATAGATATCACTTTGCGTGGTAGTTGCGATAGAGCAGCGAGAGGCTTGCCACATTCCGCCCGTGAGGGTGAGGTTGAAGGGTGGAGAATAAGTTGTCATCCACCAGGGCTCGAAGATGCTTTTGAACTCTATCAAAGCTAGACAGTGAGGCCTTGGCAGCTTCCGCCCAATTATGACAATACTCCATTTTGAGCCTAATCTGGCTCTTGTAAAGGTAGAGGAAAATTCAGGGAGTGGAAGTGAAGGGAAGTGGTACAGAGAGCCAACCATTTCACCTGCATCCTTAGCAAAAAGATCCTATGTACTTGAAGTCGGTGTGAGTTTGAGAACCAAAAATCTTTCAAGGCACTGTGCTTCCCCGAGAGGACCTCCGTTCACCTTGATTGGTGGTAGTTCGGGGTCAGATCGGAAATGATGGAACGTAACTAGATTGGTTTTCGAGGCATTGAAGGTAATCAACCAGTTTTTACCCCGTTGGATAGTTTGTATAAGATCGGAAGAAAGACCAGTAGCCAATCTCTGGCCACCGAGAGTTTTAGAAATGCACCCGTATATAGTCGTATCGTCAGCATAGATGCTTACAAATGATCTGACTATATTCTTAGGCACGCCATTTATATAGATCAAAAAGAGGATTAGTCCAAAATGTGACCCCCTGTGGGACGCCTGCGTCGACCGCTAGGGCACCGGTCTGGCTATTTCCTCCACGAAGGATTTTATGATCGAGAAGACCCTTCCAGTGAATCTATTGCTGGAAACCTTTGTGATATCTAGTACTATGGTCCCCGAGGTATGTTTGCTGACAAGAGACTCACTCATTCTCTGAAAATTATGACATCGACAGTGGATCGGGGTGACAGAAGAAGTTGTTCTTTTCGAGGTACTCGCCGATCCTTTTATTGATTATGTCCTCAAAAAGCTTACTGATGATAGTGAGGAGACTGACGGGTCTGTACTAAGAGAGAGAAGATCGCGCGCCTGCATTCTTAAAAACTGGGCATACGCTCGACACTTTCCACAGATTTGGGAAGAATTTCTCCTTCAAACGGCGGTTGAATAACTTTGCTAGGATTGGAGATAATTCCAGGTTGATATTCTTAAAGAAAAACACTGGAATTTTGTCTGGGTTGCCAGTGGCTTTCTTAGGGTGGAGGCCTTTGATAAGTCTGGAAACTTCTCGTGCTGTGATGATAATATTACTGAGATTGTGCTCAGTGAGACTCGGGAACTTGAGGAGGAGATGGTCTTTGTCATCTAATGTCGAGTTAGAGACAAAGATAGAAGCGATGAGATTCGCCTTATCTATCGAAGAGGATATGACCTCGGGGCCATTTATAATTATGGGTACAGCCGCTTTACCTCCAGGTAAGAGGTCTAGGAGGTTCGTCTGATGACCCGCCGTGTCCAGGATGCAGGTAGGTTTTTCGATGATCTGTGTTAGTCCATAGGCTATGGGGAAGTATCTACAATATCTGCCTTCAAAAAATATATATATATATATATATATATATATATATATATATATATATATATATATATATATATATATATGGGGGAAATAAATATTCGTACACTTGAAAAATGTATTTTTTATGAATGTAAAAGCCTTAACTAAAACAAATTTTGATACATTTTATGTGTAAGGATACATTTTATTAAAAAATAGTAATAAACTTAATTAATTCTTATTCTAACAGAAATTAATGCATTTTTTTTTTCATTTTAACTGATGAAAAAAGTATTCGTACAAAACGAAAAAAGCATATTAACTTAATTTAATACTTTGTGGAATATCCGTTATTGAGTTCAACAGCTACCAGTCTATTCCTGTACGTCTCAACTAATGATTTGCACACATTAAGTGGTATTTTGTCCCATTCTTCTTGGCATATTGTCTTCAAATTCTTGATATTTATTGGTGTTCTTTTCCCAATTTGAATTTTCAAATATCGCCATAAATTCTCGATTGGATTCAAGTCTGGGGACTGCCTCGGCCATTGCAAGACATCAACGTTACTTTCAGCTAACCATTTCCTTGTAGATTTAGCGGTATGCTTAGGATCATTATCCATAATTCATTAGTTATGAATTAAAAATTTTTGTGAAAATAATACTCACCAAAAGAACGACCAAATTAAAAAGCGTGATGAATACTATTTTTCTTAGGCGGGAAAAGTAAAGCAAATTAATATAAAAATATCAGAAGCCCTTACCTTCTTGCAACCACGGCTTCTGACGAAGCCATCTTGGCAGAAACAGATTTATATTTGGGCAGCGATCTCTTTTTTTATACAAGTTTTATTAAAGACAACTGAAACGATACAACGATTAATCTTTTTATTTAATTTTTCTTGAATTTGTACCTGTATTTTGTTTTCTGGACATAAAGTGTTTAAAAACAGTCAAAATGTTTTATATATCAGAACGCGTTCGGCTTTTCTGTTAGCCATTAACAAGATTTTTCTTCACTGAATATGTAGATTTTTATATATTGGGGACCCTTTTTTTACAAACACGGTCAGCATGTTGTGGCGGTGTTCATAGTTGATATTACTGAGTTTTGGCATTATCTTTTTTATCATTACTTTTATTATTCTTAACCGTTTTTTACGTGTGGATGAGGCTATTATGATCTTATTTTGCACAATTACGTTGCGAATGGAGTCTGATAGTTTTCTGTGTGCTAATTGAGCTATGGTCTGAGAGATGTAACGTAAGTCTTCTTGATATATATGTACAATATAATTATTATTCATGTATTTGGTTTGATCAAGAATGTTCAATCTTGCTGTTACTTTCTTTAGAAATAAATAATCTAATTTTGGCGATCAATGATGCCGTTCGCAAATCTGCTACCTTATTAAAGAATAACGGACGAGAGAATGAATTTTCGTCTGCTCTCTTGGGGAGCTTTTTTTTTATAACACCTATTTTATATCTAAGTGGATATTCACCCGTAAAATTAAGGTGAGAAGCATAATTTTTTGTATAACGAAGTGGCGAATGTGTGATTATTAGATTCTGTAGAAGGTCAAGAATAGGAGTTTATTCTTTTCACGAAGTTCGTAGATAAAGTTAAGGACAGAAGTTGTTTTTTTCAGCTGTAGTTTGAAGATTATCGATTTCGTTTTTTGACTTCAGCTAAAATAAAAAAAAATATTTACATAGCGGACATATATTTTAGGTTCAGTAGCTTTTTCAAATACTTTGTTTTCGACATAGTTGGAGAATCACGGTCCGAGTGGATTTCCCATGCTCACACCGTTGATATGAGAATATTAGGTTTGATGGATGGTGAGGAATATCGAATATATATATATATATATATATATATATATATATATATATATATATATATATATATATATATATATATTTGAAACCTTCTGGTAGCCGGTAATGCATATATCTTGTATATAATATGTTAAAAAAATTACATTTCTCCCTAACGTGCGCTGACGGCATAGTGGTGAGAGTCTCTGACGTCAAATTGATCTCGGCTTAAAGCAATCGCATCGATGAGCTGTGATACAGCGAAACAGTCTGTATATATATATATATATTCCTCGGAAAATAACCTCTGCAGGTAGGTGTTTATTTTTCCTGGACTCTCACCTTTTTTTGGGGTTTCTTATGATTTCTGCTTTTTGTCGTTTGTCTTCGTTTTTGTTTATTGCTTCTTATTTTTATTTTATTATCTCCATTGTTATCATTCAACAAGCTTTGTGTTGGTGGAGTTACATTTGCATTGCATATAAAGCAAGCTAACCTGACGGAGCCAATCCCTCTTCTAGATGGTATTGAATTCAGTGTTTTCCACCTCCCAAATTGAGCAGTTTACTCTATTATATGAAGCGATTTGGAGCCAATTTTTTTTCTCTACCAGACTGGTGGCACCCACAACAAGAGAGCCCGACCTCTTTCAAGCATAGCTGATTAATGTCAGCTTCATGTCTTTTCCAAGGCCAGTTTTTCGAAGTGAACGGAAGAGATTTTGTCAGAATTTGAACTCGTTTCGCCCATTCCAATTTTTGGTGCAAATAACCGTTACACTACACACACTTTCAATTTTGCCTATACGAACAGAAATTGAGATGAACTATTTTCATTGTTCTGGGGTGAATTTGCTCTATTAA